CCATCCAGCCAGTTCTTTATCCACCGAGTGGTCCATTCATTTATAAATAGAAATATTTTTTAAACGGATAGATCATAATTATCCAGTTTCTGAACTACTAAAAAAAAAATTTAAACTTCCATCCTAAATTATGCATAATTACTACTGAGCTATTTTATTTTTTATTGGTCTTCAGTTACAAAGCTGAGCTCCAACCCAAGCTTTACTCTGGCTATCCACACAGAGCTTCTGTTCTGTTAGCTAAACAAGCCACGTTATCTTTGTTTACCCCAAGTAGGTGGGATTTTTACTCCTCTGACTTCTGCTCCTGTCTTTCCTGAACAGGGAATTACAGATTGTACCAGAGCAGGACTTACCAGCCCTTTGTGCAACACTTTTTCATTGGGAAGATCTCCCTTGAGCAATGGATCCACATTGCACAAGATTAACTGCTTTATTGAATTAGAACAAAAATCTTGTCAGTCAAAATTAATTAAAAAATAACTAGTGTCTTTCATAGTAACACATGTGCACACAGCTACAGTAACAGATATGTCTAACAAAAGGATCGGCATCAAACTGAGGCCAGGTGACAAGTGAAAAATGAAAAAAATGAAAATGAAAAAAATTGAATTATATTAAATTGGGAATCATTGACAGTATTAGTGAGAACTGAAAAGAAAGAATGTAACATAGATAAGAAAAATTAAAGGTAGAGGAAATATATAATAAAATTCATATTGAAAAAGATATGCTAGTGCATAATAAGAATTGGAAAGTGGAAATGTATGAATTAAAAGCTGTGATGTAGCACATGCATCTTAACTGAATGAAAAAGTTTTTTTTCCCCTTATGCAGCTATAATTGTGTACATGCCCTGCATTATTCCAGCCCAATATTCTGATTCCTTAAATCCAATCTGAGATAAAATATGTAAGCACAGTGTTGCCTCTAAGTATATAAATTATAATATTTAACAATTAAACAGAAACAATCCTTGTGTTACAACCTGGTGAAATACCTCTACAGCAAGCCTACAGCAACACCGTCTTTCTTTTTGTATAGAAGCTCATAAGGTCTTTATAAGTATAGGCTCATTAAGAGGAAAAGAAATTACATTACACCAAACTCTAAATTTAAGATACTTTCTTAAGAACTGAGGGTTAAGTGAAACTGATCTCTTATATTGTTACCAAGGAGTTTCCTCTGTGGGTAGCTATATAGATACACACTATTCATACAAGTGAAAAAATGTCCTTCACAAACTACACCAGCACACTTGCCATCCATGATGGAGACCAGCCAACATCCCATGGAAACAGAAATAACTGCCCAAATGCCACAACCCCTTCAGCATTTCTCACTACCAGAAGGTAAAAGAGTTCCACGTAGATCTTAATTATTTTTAACTGTGGCACCTTTGTTTATCCACTCCAACAGAAAATGCAGTAGATGTGTGTACTGAGTTTGTATGCCAAAGTTATTGTAACAGGGGTCTACAGGGATGGCTTCTGTTAGAATTCTGTCCCATGTTTGATGGAACCAACACCAACTGGCTCCAAGACAGACCTATCACTGGCCAAGGCTGAGCCCATCAACCACAGCAGTAGCACCTCCGGGATAACATGGTTAAAAAGGGGAAAAAGTTACTGCATAGGAGCAATGGCAGGCAGGAGAGAGACGTGAGGATATGTGAGAGAAACAACTGTGTAGACACAGACATGCCTGACGCCTGAAGCTTTTAGTGAAGACCATGGTGAGGCAGGTTGTGCCCCCACAGCACATGGAGATCCACAGTGTAGCAAATATCCACTTGCAGCCCATGGAGATGTAGGGTGGGGCAGATATCCACCTGCAGCCTATGAATGACTGCATACAGGAGCAGGGATATGCCCAAAGGAGGCTGTGACCCACCCCCCCCGGGCCTCCACAGAGCCAGCAGGCTCCTGGCAGTACCTGTGGCCACATAGACAGGAGCCCATGCTGGAGAAGGTTTGCTGACAGGAGCCATGGCCCCATGGGAGATCCTTGCTGGAACAGTGTGTTCCTGAAGAATGCATCCCAAGGGAGGGACCCATGCTGGACCAGCTCATGAAGATCTGCAGCCTATGGGACAAACTCATGTTGGAGAAGTTTGTGGAGGACTGTTGCCTGTGGGAGGGACACCAGGTTAGCATCATAGAATCACAGAATAGTTAGGGTTCGAAAGGACCTTAAGATCATCTAGCTCCAACCCCCTGCCATGAGCAGGGACACCTCCCACTAAATCATGTCACCCAAGGCTCTGTCCAACCTGGACAGGTTGAAGCAGGAGTGTGAGAAGTTCTCCTCTGATGAGAAATGAGCAGCACAGACAACATGTGATGAACTGACCACAACATCCATTCCATGTTCCCTTGTACTGCTGAGGGGTAGAAGGTAGAGAAGTTGATAGTGAACCTGAGCCTGGGAAGAAGGAAGGGGTGGGGGTAAGGTGTTGTAAAATTTGGGCTTATTTCTAGTTACTGTACTCTGATTTGATTAAATTTGATTAACATATTTCCCTAAGTGGAGTGTGTTTTGCCTGTGATATTAATTGCTAAGTGATCTCTCCCTGTCCTTATCTCAACCCATGAGCCTTTCGTCCTATGTTCTTTCTCTTCTCTGATTGAAGATGGGAGTGAGAGAGTGGCTTATTGGTTATGTGGCAGCCAGGCAAAGTCAACCAACCACCATATGTCATAATAAAGCCCTTATGTAATTTTCACTGGTTTTACTAGCCTTACTCAGATGCTAGAACTCAGAATACAGCAAATAACATTTGAAAGTCCTGAGGCATTATCTAAAGGTATTACCTCTACAAATACTCTAGTTTCATTGATTAAAGTAACTAGATCATTAAATTTAACTGCATTAATGTTACTGTTTCGTCAGTAGCCTGGAGGAATATAAGGCTGCTGCTAGAGGATGTAGGAAAGCAGCTAAGATGACTAAGGCCTCCTTGGAATTGAAGCTGGCGAGAAGGGTCAAGGACAACAGAAAGAGCTTTTTCAAATACATGGCAGATAAAACTAACACCAGAGGCAATGTAGGCCCGCTGATGAACGGGGCGGGTGCCCTGGTGACAGAAGATACAGAGATGGCAGAGTTACTGAATGGCTTCTTTGTCTCTGTCTACTCTGCCAGAGGCAGTCCTGAAGAGCCCTGTACCGCTGAGACCTCAGATGAAGACAGGTCAACGGAGCGGTTTGCCTTAGTCGATGAGGAATGGGTTAGAGACCAGTTGAGTAATCTGGACATCCATAAATCCATGGGTCCAGATGGGATGCACCCGCGGGTGCTGAGGGAACTGGCGGAGGTCATTGCTAGACCGCTCTCCATCATCTTTACCAAGTCTTGGGAAACGGGAGAGGTGCCTGAGGACTGGAAAGCAAATGTCACTCCCGTCTTCAAAAAGGGCAAGAAGGAGGACCCGGGTAACTATAGACCAGTCAGCCTCACCTCCATTCCTGGGAAAGTAATGGAACACCTTATCCTTGGTGCCATCTTAAGGCACATCAAGGATAAGAGGATTATGAGGGGCAGTCAGCATGGCTTCACCAAGGGGAAGTCATGCTTGACCAATCTCATAGCCTTTTATGAGGAAATAACACAGTGGATGGATGATGGCAGAGCGGTGGATGTGGTCTACCTTGACTTCAGCAAAGCGTTTGACACAGTCTCCCACAGCATCCTCGCAGCTAAATTGAGGAAGTGTGGTCTGGATGATCGGGTAGTGAGGTGGACTGTGAACTGGCTGAAGGAGAGAAGCCAGAGAGTTGTAGTCTATGGGGCGGAGTCTAGTTGGAGGCCTGTATCTAGTGGAGTGCCTCAAGGGTCGGTACTGGGCCCAGTATTATTTAATATATTCATCAATGATTTAGATGAGGGAATTGAGTGTACTATCAGCAAGTTTGCTGATGACACTAAGCTGGGAGGAGTGGCCGACACACCAGAAGGCTGTGCTGCCATTCAGCGAGACCTGGACAGGCTGGAGAGTTGGGCGGGGAATAACTTGATGAAATATAACAAGGGAAAGTGTAGAGTCCTGCATCTGGGCAGGAACAACCCCAGGTTCCAGTATAGGTTGGGGAACGACATGTTAGAGAGCAGTGTAGGGGAGAGGGACCTGGGGGTCCTAGTGGACGACAGGGTGACCATGAGCCGACACTGTGCCCTTGTGGCCAAGAAGGCCAATGGCATCCTGGGGTGTATTAGAAGGGGGGTGGTTAGGAGGTCGAGAGAGGTCCTCCTTCCCCTCTACTCTCCCCTGGTGAGACCTCATCTGGAATATTGTGTCCAGTTCTGGGCACCTCAGTTTAAGAAGGACAGGGACCTGCTGGACAGAGTCCAGCGCAGGGCAACTAAGATGATTAAGGGAGTGGAGCATCTCCCTTATGAGGAAAGACTGAGGGAGCTGGGTCTCTATAGTTTGGAGAAGAGGAGACTGAGGGGTGACCTTATTAGTGTATATAAATATATAAAGGGGGAGTGTCACGAGGATGGAGCCAAGCTCTTCTCAGTAGCAAACAATGACAGGACAAGGGACAATGGGTACAAACTGGAACACAAGAGGTTCCACTTAAACTTGAGAAGAAACTTCTTCTCAGTGAGGGTGACAGAACACTGGAACAGGCTGCCCAGGGAGGTTGTGGAGTCTCCTTCTCTGGAGACATTCATAACCTGCCTGGACACGTTCCTGTGTAACCTTATCTAGGTGTTCCTGCTCCGGCAGGGGGATTGGACTAGATGATCTTTTGAGGTCCCTTCCAATCTCTAACATACTGTGATACTTTTTTGACAAAAGTCTTATGACTTCAGATTAGCATCTCTTTAGACTTGAAGTTCTCACAGCCTTCATTCTGATGACCCTGCTTCTCTTACAATGCTTTATTTAACAAAGTAATCAAGAATGCAAAATGCAAGGAATGTTTTCTACAGCTGCTGCACAAACAGGTGTTGGCAGCTGCAGTTCATTTGGTGATGGTGCGTAACAGAAGAATAAAAATTAAAGTCACTAGTTGTTTCTTTTGCTTTGCAAGAAAGGTTAATCAATATTTCTGCTTTAGTATTTCTCATTTGGTGCCTTTCAGGGCCTGGGTCTCCTACTGAGTACTACTTCTGGTAAGTGATAGTGGGCTCTACTTAAGGACAACATATTGGATTCTATAGCTGATGAATACTTGGTTAATATCTTTTAGTTGTTCTCTATGAGGGCATATTTTCTGTGATATTGGGTTTAACACTACTGAATCAATACAATTGCATGATGGCTGTTAGTTGGTTTGGGGTTTTGGTTCGTCGCTTTTTCGGTTTTGGATGTGTGGTTTGTTGTTTTTTTCTCTTTACAGTGATTGATCTCAAAGAACTGCTGAAAGGTTCCCAAAAGAAATGGAGCTATTTGGATTATAAAGAAATTTTAAAAGAATAAGGATTGATAAGAGCATCATAATCAGTTTTAGCACGTCCTTCAAACCCACTAAATTATCTGTCTCCTTAAACTAGCCCTTTCTCAGGTTTAACAAAGGAGAAATATGCCTGATTCTCTGTATCTCACTTGTTTTATTATCCACTGCTGACAGGAATCATAAAATCACTGAGGTGATAGCAGTAGCAGAGTAATGCTTGCACATCACTCAAAAGTACTGCTCAAACCATTTTAATACAATTAATTACTTATCATTTTATTATAATATTAATTATAGGTTTTCTATTAAAATATGTCAAACTTGGAAAAATAGTAAAGGAAGCTCTTCTACAGTTCTTCGAGATGAAATTATGGCCTCATGGAAGGAAACAGGAACGTTGTCATTCTTGTCCATTAAGACTCTATATATTTTTAATTTTCATGTGACCATTCTATATTCAAAATAAAGTAGATATTTGCTGTATGAACAAAGCCTGTAAGAATGTAAATTATTTATATTAGTGATGTACAAGTAAAGCTTGCAGGTTAGTAAAAGAACCTAACAAAGGAAAGACAACCTTAAATTACTAGGAAATCCTTTAAAGGTCTTAAACTTTTCTGTTCTAAAAATTTTTAATAAATGCCTTTAAATATCAGGTTCTTTAGAATAAGTGTGATAGCTATTGCCTTCTCTTAGATGAGTTACATCGATTTCTTAGACTTTTTTTGTATTTCTTATTTCAAATTTAGTTGTAAGTGTCAAGAATATTTCTTGACTGCTGCTACCCCCTGCTTTCTAATAGAAAACAGTTAATTGGCTGTCATTCATTAAATTAATTCCAGATATTTTAGAAGTCTTCTAATCCGCTAATTATCAACCTTACACTTAAATCATTGCATAACAGTTAAATCATTGCATACACTTGAAGATTTAGAAAAAGGGTTAATTCAAAATTTGAAATAATGTGTGACCAGATTCAACTCATGATAGGTCTTTATCCTGGACACTTAAAAATCTTAATCCCTCTACACTCCTGTTTTTTTTTTTTTCCTGTTACCTGTTCATTTCTTTCTTGGTAGATTAAATTTTAGAACTGAAAATTTCTCTCTGAGATATATTTGCATATTAATATAAATTGAGAAACACTAGTCTGTTAGATGTCAGTTTTGGTCCATTAGGCATGTTATGCCTCATCTGTTGTAGGTAGATGCTTCATACATTATTGAAAAGTTAATATTTTATTGTTGGGGAAAAAAAAAAAGTGTTTTGGTTTTTTTTTTCTCCTGACCAGTATACTTTTTAAACACTTTTCTTTTTTTTTTTTTTTTTTTTTTAATTTGACTAGCCAGCTTCCATGAGTTGGATTTGAAAGTTTGATACAGGAAATCTGACAGAAGATATATTAGGAAAAGTGCTGAAGGCCTCTTAAGGAGACCATATGTTTGAATGCATTTTAAGATCTAAAATTTTAACAAAAAAATATTTTCATAATTTGTTAACATTTTGAGCCATGAAAGTGAAGAACTGAAATAACTGTGACTTATGATGAATGCTTCAAATCTTCCTTCATTTTTCCACAAGCCATCCTCCTTCCAGAATACAAAGAAGGATTTTGACAACTATAATGACTGAAACACAGCCTTATTTTCATCATAGTGGCCACTGATTCTTTTGTGACTTTGATTTAATTTGATACCCATTTCTTATTTCTTTTGAAATATAGTGCAAAGTCATATAGATGTGGCATATTTAATAAAAATCTCCTGACATATGTATATCATTAAACTAAAATGTGGCACTTTGGCATTTGTAAATCATCCTCATTCTAATGCAAATACAGATCACTCATTCGTGGAAGGTCTGTTGGATAACCCTACCCATTACTCTTTATATTTATCAGCCCATAACTCGAAATGTTTATGGTGTCAGGTCTTTCAGTCTGAGTTGTGAGTTCTGCAGTTCCAACAGTTGTGAAGCAGTTAACAACTTGCTGAATTAGTTACGCATGGTTTATATATTTAGGCCAAATGGCTTTATTTAAGCATAGGCTGATTTTTTTTTTTCCATTTTTTAACTGACCTACATATGTCTTCTAAAATTACTTAGATATTGATTGTCTTCAACCTACTGAAGCTATAGCCTCAATTATGTTTAATTTAAAAGTAACGGAGATTAAGACCTCTAAAAGTCTAAGAGATTTAAAAGTAAATGAGATTAAGACTTCCTGATTTACCACCTAAATTAGAATTAGTATCAGTTCCAGGCTCTACGACCCTGAGAATCATATATCTAGATTTTGCTCCCATCTGATTAACTATATTTTGTCAAAAAAAAGGTCTAGCCTTCAGGCAGTTAAGCGTGTGTAACTGGCTATGTAATGGAAGAGGGTAAACAAGAATCAGACTTCTCAGAAAGAAAAAGAGCAATTTCCATTAGATATAAATCAAAAAGGTTTACCATGACAGTCATTAAATATTCAAGGCCATACTCAAAGTGGCTGTGGGATTTCTGTGCTTTAAGATGTTCAAAACTTGATTGAACTAAGCCCTGAGCAGTCCATCATAATTGGACCTGCTCTGAGCAGCAGGTTGGACCAGATGACCTCTGAAGGTCATTTCAGCCTGAAGGAGTGTGTAATGCTCTGAGAAGTTTCTGTACCAGTGACTGCAAGATGCTGACAGGGCATGTCAGAGAAATGATCCCTCTATAACTGTCATGTTCATACTTGTTAAAATATTTTCCCAAAAGCCACTTAAAGGCAGATTATTTTGGCCTTCATATATTTACCGATTTGTCTTTTATTACCTTTGATCTACCAGAATTCTTTTTTGCTTTTCATATATGCTTGTGTTTCTTCCTTAGCCTTTCATTTCTGTAATAAAAGTGTATAGCCTGACATATACTTGAAAAGAAGATATTCAAGAACAAGAAGTTATAACTTAAGTTTAAAGCCATGTTGCAAACTACTAAACATGATGTTGAATTCATTTCGTGCCAATCCCAAGAAACTACAGTGACTTTAATTACTTTAACGGTGAGACTCTGTTTTACTCTATCTGAACAGGTTTAAATATGTGACATTTAATATAAATTCTGTAAGCACCTCCATTTATTTTGTACTGCATGAATAAAAAGGGATGCAGTCTAATAGCTCAAGGAATTTCAAAGTCATGCCTGACTTAACAAAGGAACTTTCTTATTTGTTTATCTGGAGTCTTCTCATGTCAGTCAATGCAGTTACAGCTGTGGAAAAATGTATATATATTCCACCTAAATTGCTTTGGCCCATTATGTTTCAGAAATGAGAAAGCAGTTACATGCTAAACTGCAGGGAGCACAGAGTAAGGAGACAGGGGGGGAAACTGTAGCAGATTAAAACACTTTCTGCTTGATAGTAAAATAAACAAGGAAATTAGTCAGCACATTGGATATGTATGTTAAACTATTCCACCTTGTTAAAAATAAAATCCAAAGGCTAAGAAAAATATATTGATACATGGCTATTCCCATATCTCTTAAACTATTGCAAAAAGATATAGAAAAATCATGGGACGAGAAGAAAAGATCGAGGGATACCTGTCTCTAATTCCATGATAAGGTAACTCTGAGTTATGCCCTGCTTCACCATAGACTTCACCACAGCCTGAAAGGACAACTGTTGGAATTCCTTATGCACTGACTGTGGTTTCTGCAGAGATATTCCACTCACAAAATCTCACTCCTCTCTCTGGCTGTAGTTGCATAACAGTATTTCCCCCTCATTAAATATGTTATGCCAGAGGCACTATAGTCATGGCTAATGGGCTCAGCCTTGGCTGGTGGTGAATCCAGCTTGACACCAGAAGGCACTGGCTCTGTTGGACACAGGGGAAGTTTCTGGCACACAAACATTCTCTGTTGTAAACAACTAGAAGTGAGTATTTCCTATCACCTTTCAGTTGGAAGTAATGAAAGATTTGGAAACATAGAATAGTTAGGGTTGGAAAGGACCTTAAGATCATCAAGTTCCAACCCCCCTGCCATGGGCAGGGACACCTCGCTCTAAACTATATCACCCAAGGCCTCGTCCAACCTGGCCTTGAACACTGCCAGGGATGGAGCATTCACAACCTCCCTGGGCAACCTATTCCAGTGCCTCACCACCCTAACAGGAAAGAATTTCCTCCTTATATCCAATCTAAACTTCCCCTGGTTAAGTTTTAATCCATTACCCCTTGTCCTATCACTACAATCCCTAATTAAGGGTCCATCCCCAGCATCCCTATAGGCCCCCTTCAGATACTGGAAGGCTGCTATGAGGTCTCCATGCAGCCATCTCTTCTCCAGGATGAACAGCCCCAACTTTCTCAGCCGATCTTCATATGGGAGGTGCTCCAGTCCCCTGATCATTCTCGTGGCCCTCCTCTGGACTTGTTCCAACAGTTCTATGTCCTTTTTATGCTGAGGACACCAGAACTGCACACAATACTCCAAGTGAGGTCTCACAAGAGCAGAGTAGAGGGGCAGGATCACCTCCTTTGACCTGCTGGTCACGCTGCTTTTGATGCGGCCCAGGATACGGTTGGCTTTCTGGGCTGCAAGCGCGCACTGCCGGCTCATGTTCATTTTCTCATCGACCAGCACCCCCAAGTCCTTCTCCACAGGGCTGCTCTGAATTTCTTCTCTGCCCAGCCTTTAGCTGTGCCTGGGATTGCTCCGACCCAGGTGTAGGACCTTGCACTTGGCATGGTTAAACTTCATGAGGTTGGCATCAGCCCACCTCACAAGCATGTCAAGGTCCCTCTGGATGGCATTCCTTCCCTCCAGCGTATCAACCAAACCACACAGCTTGGTGTCATCGGCAAACTTGCTGAGGGCGCACTCAATCCCACTGTCCATGTCAGCGACGAAGATGTTAAACAAGTCCGGTCCCAACACTGATCCCTGAGGGACACCACTCATTACAGGTCTCCAGCTGGACATTGAGCAATTGACCTCAACTCTTTGTGTGCGGCCATCCAGCCAGTTCTGTATCCACCGAGTGGTCCATTCATCAAATTGATGTCTCTCCAATTTAGAGACAAGGATGTCATGTGGGACAGTGTCGAACGCTTTACACAAATCCAGGTAGACGACATCAACTGCTCTACTGCTGTCCATCAGTTCTGTAGCCCCACCATAGAAGGCCACCAAATTGGTCAGGCAGGATTTCCCCTTAGTGAAGCCATGCTGGCTGTCATCAAGCACCTTGCTGTTTTTCATGTGCCTTAGCATGCCTTCCAGGAGAATCTGCTCCAAGATTTTGCCAGGCACAGAGGTGAGACTGACTGGTCTGTAATTCCTTGGGTCATCCATTTTCCCCTTCTTGAAAATGGGGGTTATATTTCCCTTTTTCCAGTCGTCAGGAACTTCACCTGACTGCCATGATTTTTCAAATATGATGGCCAGCGGCTTAGCAACTTCATTCTCCAGCTCCTTCAGGACCTGCGGATGGATTTCATCAGGACCCATGGTCTTGTGAACTTTCAGATTTTTAAGATGGTCTCGAACCAATTCCTCTCCTACAGTGGGCCCAAGGTCTCCATTCTCACAGGCCCTGTGTCTGCCTTCCAAGACTTGGATCTATATCCCTAGCACCCACATGTATCACCAGAAATGGGTAATAGTCCGCGGGGCTTACTAGAGCAGGCAGCCTCTCTGCCACATCCGTGATCCGTGCCCCTGGTAGGCAACACACTTCCCTTGAGACCGGGTCAGGCTGATAGACGAGTGCTTCTATCCCTTTCAAAGTAGAATCCCCTACTACTACAACCCGTCGCTTTTTCCTGGCAGCACCAGTAGAGATCTTCTTTACTAGTGCATCAGCCGGCTGTTTCTGGCACAAGTGTGTTTCCTTATGAGCCCCCTGCAGGACAGCAAAGGGGTTCTGCATGGGGACAACAGATTTAGGAGGAAGTCCCTTGCTTTTAATCGTCCTTTTCCTCCTTTTTTTTTTTTTGTTGTTTTCTTTTGTCACCAGTTCCCCTCTTCAGAGGTTACCGGACTCCTTCTTTCCTCCCTGAGCTACAGGGGAAGCTTGAGGACTCTGCACAGTTTTAGCAGGGAGCAAGCAGTCCTGCTTCCTCTCAGTTTCCCTGACATCTTGTAGCCTATTAATAGCTTCCTGCAGCTCAGCCCCTGCTGCAGGAGAACCTCCACCAGGGAGCACCGAGTGCAGCCCTGCCCATTGTGTACCTGTCCCTCACCAGACCAGTGCAGGCACTCTCTACACCCCGAAGTCTGCACTGCAGCCTCCCCTCTCATCGGCTCTGTCTGGGTGCTTATGGTGGCCACCGCCGGGGCAGGCAGCGCAGAGCTCCCAGACGCGGGCCTGGTCACACGGCGAGTGCTCACCATCCTGCTCACCTGCCCACGCGAACTGCCTCTACCCGCCCTGTTCTCCGCGCTCCCTGGGGCAGGTTTTTACCCAGTCAGGGCTGGTGCCGCCCCTCCTGGCTCCGCCCCCGGTGAGTCCCTGCTCGCGTCAGCTGAGCTGCCGGCTCCTGGGCAGGTCCTGTCAAGGAGTTGAGCCTCCTTCGGTAGCCCTTGTCGCTCTGAGTTGAGGCTCCTGGACGCTGCTCTCCCCCCGCTGTGGTGTTTAAGGCGTCCTCTCTCGAGCTACTCACCTCAGCAATTGACCAATTTGTAAGGGATTTGTTTTATTTTCTTGTTGTGGGCTCGAAGTTCACAGTATGTAGTTATTTACAGTATTAATGCATCTTTCCTCATTTGTACTTGTGCTCATATTTCTACCTTTCCCTACATTTTTATTGGATATCAGTAAGTCTCATTAAAA